TTAAATAATTTATTTAATTTTTTTATCTATATTTAAATATGCCACAAAATTATTAGTATTGAGGATAGCTGTAGAAAAAGGTTTTTGAAAGGTAATAGTATTTGTAAAAGAGTAGTGATATTGTGAACTAGTGATGTCAGGGATGGGAAAGTTTTAGGGAAAGAGGGATTGTTAGAGAAGAGAAGGTTGTTAGTTGTTGGGAAATAGAAGTTTGTTAAAAATGGAAGGTTGTAAGGAAAAAAAAAGGTTTTTAGAAAAGGAAAGTTTGTTGAGAAAGAGAAGCTTGCCAGAAAATTGAAAATTGTTGAGAAAAAGAAATATTGTTGGAGAAAGAAAAGGTTGTTAGAAAAAGAAAGAGTTGTCAGAAGAGAGAAGATTGTCAAAAAGGAAGGGTTGTTAGAAAAAAAAAAGATTGTTGGGATAGTTTGTTTAAACTAAATCATATAAAACAGATTTGTCTTATACTTTATATATAAACTTAGTTTTAGAAAAATTTTAGAATTTGGCAAAGTTTTAGGCTTTCAGATCTTAGTTTTGGGCAGAGCATTAGAGTTTTAGTTTTGGTTATTAGCTCAAAAGTAGTTTTGGGCAACATCATTAGTTAGAGATTTAAATCAAACCCGAATATGTTTATGAACTTTCAAACTAAATCTGAACTGAACACGAATATGCTCTAAAAGTTTGATGTTTTAAATTCGAGTTTGGTTCGAAATTCAAACTAAACTCAAACTTAAGCTAAGTTCAGTTCGGTTCGAGTTTGTAGAAACACTATATAGGGTATTTGTATAATATATAAGTTATACAAAAAGTTCTCAGATTATAGTAAATCCAAGGAATCAGAAAGATTAGATATATGCTTGGCAAAACCTGAGTAGAGAAGTAGTACAGATCTTTAATAGTACTATATAAAGGATTATAGTTAGGAAAGCGAATTGACTAAATAGGACTGAAGTATTTGGCAAAGCACTTTACCAACCAGGCTACCAGGAGAGTAACCGGAGGAAAAGGACCTAACCATAGAAACCAGGAGCAGGTTACAGCTCTTCCAGGCTATCTGAATTGGTAGTTTAGAAAATTCAGGAAGTATAGTATAGTCTGTAAAGTAGGTACTAAGGTCTGAGTAAATTCTACAAGAGCAGAAATAGATAATAGTAGCAGCTTTGGCTCGCAAGTATTTATTTTCGGACTTGGCGTAAGTTACTGAAGTTTAGGTTAGCCGAATTGTGGATACAAAAAGCTCTAGCAGGTTTATCTCGAGAACAAAAATTTTTCAATAGTGGTAGCCTGTTTTAAAGTCCTAAGCTAGGTGTCTGAAAATAAGGGATCCAAACTAGATTCTTGCTTAGATTAACTCTATAGACAAAGAAGGTTTAAATAGGTAACCCTCTAGTTGGGTTTATACATGCCACTGAAATAGATTTCAAAAAAACCCTATTTCGTCTTCATTAGAGCAATTTAGAATTTTTTATATGCAAGAGCAAATCTAATTTAGG